GTTCTTCTTTATTGGTTCTACCTTGGACTATCACTGTGGTACAAGGAATCGGACCATAACAAATATATTTTCAGTTTATATTTGATTTTAGTTTGATTTCTGTTTTGTTGATGATTTTCGTTTAATGACCAAAAATGTCAGGAATTGGAACTATTCCATTGTGGGACCATAATAAGCTTATAATATAAACCTCTTGCTTCCCTCTAGTATGTCCTTAGAACAACCTCATTCAGTCAGCCTCTACCTTGACCTGTCACTTGGGTCTTGTATTTGGCAAACAATAGTATTAAAAAAAAAGATTTTGTAAAAATGCTGAATGCCATGTGTTAAATCACTTGCACATGTATATATTTAGTTTAATTTGCAAATGTATTTTGTTGGTTGGAGAACAGAGATGAGGATATTAGTCCAAACGAATCACTGATTTTTTTTTGTTTTTTTCGTTTTTTTAGATGCCATTTAGAGATTCTTTTTTACTTTTTGTGTATCTTTTTAAGCTGTAGATTTTTAATGTCAGAAACATTTTTTTTGCTTCTTTGTATAAAATTCATTGTAAATTTGTGTTGTTTTTCCCTTGTCTGTGTATGTCTGTCTGTGTAATTGTCATGCCAAGAAGAATTACCAATTTAAATTCTATTTATTGCATTTTAATAAATTTGATTTCACAAAATATTTTGTCCCAGGACAAGGCTTCCTGCACAACCCTGCTAGGACTATTTACATTATTCAGACTATTGTCCTCATCTTTGTCACCATATTTATCATAATGTTTCTTCAGGTGGTTGGAATGTCAAACTGAATTCGAACTTTCGCTCACTGGGGTAGACTGTTTTAGTTCCACATGCCATGTTTAATGAATGTCAGTTATCAGTTATCTCCTGTTAATTCCCCTCTCCAGGTTCTCCACTGCCTTAACCAGGTATTGAACTCACTGTCACTGGATCTGACCAACGCCTTTATCCACTGTGCCATGTGTCCTTGAGGACATCTTTGTATGAATTTCTGGGTATTATAAACCTAATGTCATCAGCAACCATTAGAACAGTCTACCCCAGTGAGCGAAAGTTTGAATTCAGTTCGACATTCCAAACACCTGAAGAAGGCTGGAGAATACAACAGCTAAAACATTGTGATAAATATGTCAACAAAGATGAGGGCAATAATTCGAATAATGTAAATAGTGTACATAATACCTCATCTCAGAAATATAGACAGATACTGAAGGGCTGAAACGTTGTAATAAATATGGCAACAAAGATGAGGACAATAGTTCAAATAATGTAAATAGTGTACATAATACCTCATCTCAGAAATATAGACAGAAACCCGGCTAACATTACTGAAATGATTTTGTACCACAGAATTAGTTTCAGATTACCAAGGTTTAAATATATTGTTATATCCCATGCTGTTGGGATGAACAAAAATGAATAAAAATAAAAGATAGGTGTATTTTAAAACATAATAAAACAAATTTTATTCCTTTACTATCAAGGATTCATTTGGATTGAAACCACAAATTCCACATGTGTGTCAGCTTGTCTCCAGGTTCAATTAAGAACTGCCGTCCTCATCTTCCAGGCAAGGGATGTAACTCCATTGTAGAGTTATTGTCCTTTATAGAGGAAGAAAATTTAACTTCCCCTAATATATATTAAAGAGAGAAAAAAAATGATCTAATCAGGGTCAAAGGAAGAATAGAGTAACAGTTAACTGCTTAGAAAATAGAATTGGTCAACTGAGTTCAAATCCAAGCCATTCTGTGCTAATGTTTGGTTTCTCTCTTGTCTTGATGGCGAAAAGAACGACTCTGAATTTAAAACTATGGGAAAATAATGAAAAAAACATTCCACTATATATATATATATATATATATATATATATGCCAAGAACAATTACAGCAATGCATTTTATTTAAAGCATTTATGATTCTGAACTGATTTAAAATTAATTACATTGGAGGATAATAGGTTGTTTTTTTTATGTTTTTTTTTTTTTAACGCCTTCCCTGCCAATTATTTTGTGAAAAATGTTTTATTTTTACACAAATTTTTTTATTTGTTTTTAATATGCTAACTAAGAAACTAAGGTGCTTTGAAGTCCCCAAGTGGTGGCTGACACCTCTACCTGACGTAAAGTTGAGAATTAGACTTGTTTCAATCTCAGAAGGGCATAAAATTAATCAAGATTAAGCTGGTTTTTGAATATTATGTTTTGGACATGTTTATTTGTCAGTGTCTGAAAAAGACACTTTTGGTAAAAAAATATTAAATACATGCCTAAGTCAGGGAAGGAGTTAATCATTTCATCCTAAGTAAGACAATAAAGCCACAATGGGTTACTGAGTATGAAAGAATATGAGAAAAAGAAACATTATTGTGGAGAGAGAACAATAAACGAACTGTAGTCAAGAAGACAGAGGATAATGATTGACATTACATTTAAATATTTGAAGATCAATATTGACTAGAAATCAAGAAGCTGGAGGAGATTTGATTTGGATGATTGTTTTGTTTAGCGGCATATCAATAGCTCTATGGGTTATTTAATGACAAAATCTAAATATTTTGTATGCCATTTTTTTTTTTTTTTTTTGAGATAATAATGTTTTCAGTGATACAAGTCTTACTAATTAACCCATAGCCGAGGAGAGAAGTGGATTCTTACTTTTCCCAAGGATATTTGCACATAAGTGAATATAACGGAATTGGAACTCAGCACTCTGATTAACAATTCCAAGCCGTTATCCATTACATCACCGGCACATCCAAGATTATAGCACTTGTTATTCCAAAGCAGTCACCCATCTAAGTACTGACCAGGCTCAATGGTGCTTAAACTTTGGTGTTCATAGGAAACTGGTGTTTGAATGTGATGTGGCTGTAAACCCTGAAAAAGTTTCACAAACAAGAAGTGTGATAGACAAAACTGTTGACATAGAACTTAGTTACATCTCGCTATTTCAATTGCAAAATGATAAGACATTGTCATCAATCCAGCACTTGTGCTTAAATTCATAAAGTTTAGGTACCATAGAGGAAAGGATTTATAGCTTAGGGAAGCTATGTTATGACAGTGGAAAAGTGATTGAAGCTGAGATGCCAGGTGAAGACCAATAATATTCCAGATTCTTGGAAGCTACATAATAATAATAATAATAATAATATACCCTATTGTTATCCAGTATGTTGCTCTGTCAGTGGAGTTTAGAAAATTTCAACTGCATCCCTTGCAGAAGAATAAGACCACACCCAGCCAAAAGAGATCATCTATTGGCTGGATACTTACAGACTTAGATATAAACTATGTATGTAATGCCTGGCTGCTCATTTTCCAAGTATCCGTCTGCTAGTGTGGTTGGTTTATCCTTGATGCAGGTGCTGACTCGGGCACATTTCTATTTCTTCAGCACCTACATTGTCAACCTGTGTTTTATAATACAACTGTGCTGAACAGACCTTAGTTACTGTTTCTGTGAGAGAGCAAATAATCTGATGTAATCAGTAGTTGTGTTGCATTTCAGACCAGACACCAAATTCGTTGACAGGGTGCAGCTTCCAATTAAATGCTTTTGGTTTGAAAATAACCCTTTGGCCAGATCATTACCCATGAGTGAAAAACATGATAATTTTTAGCAGTAAACCAGATTTTATTCTTGGGTTGTAACTTACTGCTATAAGCAAACAAGGTTGAGATGAGGTGTAAGTGAGGTGAACAGTCTAACAGGTGTTTTCCCTCTTCTGTCGTTCTCTGGAGGCCTGATTTGTTTCTCTTTGTGTCTTTTTTTGGGTACTGGTCAGTTTTATATCTAACGTTATTCTTTGTCCCATTGTCCTTGTCTAAAAAAGTAATTTATCTTGATTCAGTGACTTTACTTTGTCTAGACCACTTGTGAAGCCCACTTTATGATACTGATAACAATCGGCCGAAAATAAATTTTCTGAATCCATTTTCATGAGAGTTCCAGCTTTTTTCCATTCAACAAAACCTCAGCTGAATAATATTGCAACAAGTTGAACAAGGCCAATATGCTTAAATGCTCAATCACAATGACTTGAGACTTCATGCTTGCATAACCATTGATAGTTCCTGAATAGTTTTGTCTACCCACTTTCACTTACAAGGCTTGTGTCAACCATGGTATCATCTTCCAATGGTGCCAAACACCACTGGGATTGTGCCCCCAGACTGATATTATCAAGCAATTACTTCCTTGATAAATCAAATATGGTAAGATTTGAACCCATATCTCATGGTTAGAACACTAACATTTTAACCACACAGCCACACACCTATGCCTACTTATTTATTAATTCTTTGTAATTTTTTACCATATAAGACTTACATCCAAAATTAAATAATTCTCTTGTCCTGGGTATGATGATAAACTACATCTGGCAGGTGGATGTAGTTTAGTTATAAGCTGGCAATCTAGTTTCAGCAATATATAGATTTTATGTATGTGTTAAGACAGTGGTTCCCAAACCTTTTTTTTTTCTCTTGGTCTCTGGTTTCGAAATGAAAATTTGCTTCTACCTCACCAAATTTTATGTGGTAAAAAGTACATTTAAAAATAAAAAACAGTGAGGGTTAAAGGGAGATAAGCACAGATTCAAAGTCAGAATATTATCATTGATAACTCACCCTTCTAATTTGCAGACCCTAGATAATATATTCATAATACTTGATATAATGCAAAAATATCACAATGATAAAATCTGGCAATAATAATTTATAATGGGATTCATGCATACAATTACAAATAATCCATAAGAATATTTTAAATTTTGAAATTATACTTATTTTTGTCATATGAAGTTTTTGAAACTATTTCTAAATTTTTGATTGTTTTTCAATCATTCTGCTTCTTCCACAACACCGTTTGGAAACCAGTGTTCAGGCGTGATAGTTTTACATGTTTAATGGATTATAATTTATTTCTTATCGTTGTTTCATTTTTCTGTGCTCAGATTGAATGTCACATATTCTATTTCTTCTAGTTTGATGTGCCCTACAGAGCACCAGTTGAGAAAAATGTCTTCTTGAGTGTTTCAAGGTATGTGTGCAACCCTGGCTTCCTTGTTTTTATATTTCATCCAAGGTGACAGGATTTCTTTTGTTTGTTTGGAAGTATTTTTAAAATTTCAGTTCTTCAAGAATGAAGATATTTTTGTAAGTATATTGCAGAAAATCAGAATAATGAAATTTATATTGTAAAAATTTTAACTCCTTCCCAAATTTAAACCATCCTTGTTAAAATGATAAACTACATCTGCGTCCTGGGTAAGATGATAAACTAAATCCAACAGCAAGGCCACTGATCAGGAGGTTTTCAGGTGTGTGGAACCACCTCTTAATTGCACTGTTGTTTCCTAGTCCGCCCTGCACCGGGGTGGTAGCATCTGTAAGGGACCTAGCTATGGGCAAATATTTAACCCCCAAAATGGGGTCAAAACACTATGAAAGTGTAAAAACATGTTTTAATACCAGTACTACATTTTTGTAAAGCTTATTACCAGCAATAAATTTTGAAGAAAAAAAAATTATTACCAGCAATAGATTTTTTGGAAAAAATATTACCAGAAATAAAAATCTTGTCAGCATTAAATAACCCATTGAGGTTGATATGCCATAAAACAAACCAAATCTAAATTCTTGTGCCAAACACAAAAACCTAGTTATTTGGAATATAAAGGGAAAAGAGAACACATGTCTCTTTTCTCTTTGAGGTCAAAATAGGTACAAATCATGAAATAAGACTCAACAACAAATTCATCCTTTTTGTTCTTAGTAGTTGCCGTAATTTTTTCACGATCAGGATATAAGGAGGGTTCACTGGCAGTATTGTGCCAATATTGCAGATAACCTGAGTTCACCTCCTCCCTTATTATTGAGATCAAAATAGGCAGAAATCCTAAAATAAGACTCAACAACAAATTCATCCTTTTTGTTCTTAATAGTTGCCGTAATTATTTCACGATCAGGATATAAGGAGGGTTCACTGGCAGTATTATTGCCAATATTGCAGATAACCTGAGTTCACCTCCTCCCTTATTATTGAGATCAAAATAGGCAGAAATCCTAAAATAAGACTCAACAACAAATTCATCCTTTTTGTTCTTAATAGTTGCCGTAATTATTTCACGATCAGGATATAAGGAGGGTTCACTGGCAGTATTGTGCCAATATTGCAGATAACCTGAGTTCACCTCCTCCCTTATTATTGAGATCAAAATAGGCAGAAATCCTAAAATAAGACTCAACAACAAATTCATCCTTTTTGTTCTTAATAGTTGCCGTATATTATTGGAATGATCAGGATATAAGGAGGGTTCACTGTGCAGTATTGTGCCAATATTGCAGATAACCTGAGTTCACCTCCTCCTTATTATTGAGATCAAAATAGGCAGAAATCCTAAAATAAGACTCAACAACAAATTCATCCTTTTTGTTCTTAGTAGTTGCCGGAATCATTTCACTATCAGGATATAAGCGTTTCACTGGCAGTATTGTGCCAATATTGCAGATAACCTGAGTTCACTTCCTCCCTTATTATTGAGATCAAAATAGGCAGAAATCATAAAATAAGACACAACCACTGCTTCAAATTTTAAAGGAAAAAACATTTATTATTCAAGTAAAGACAACAAAGGTACAAATAGAAAATTTACACAAAAATTTCCTTTTGTGCACCTGTTAAGACAGATTAACAAATTACTGATGTTTCGAAAAAGGATTACCGTTGAAAATCAGGAAAAAAGGGCACAGTTCAGAAAAAGACACAAAGATTCAATGACAAAAGGAGAAAATTCAAGAAAGCAGTAAAAAAAAAAAAAAAAAAAAAAAAAGAGATGTAACCACCTTTCAGGAAAAAAAAAACACCTACTTTTACTTGCCCCACAAGCATATCTGGGACATATAGTAATTTTAGAAAAGACTCTTTTATATTCACACTGTTTGTGCTTGGGGTAAATTTCTTTGAAATTCTTTTTTTTTTTTTTCTTGTTGTCCAACTGCAGGAGAATTTTCACTTATGAACTTCACGGCTCTCTTCTCACCTGTAGCTTTCTTCTTTATATCAATTTTTGTCTGCCATTGATGTCAATTTACCTTATCCCTTTTCTGTCAAAAAGTCTTCAGCTTCATCCACTGACCTGAGTTGTATTTGGAAAAATAGGCTCACAGGGTCGGTGGCAGATGTGAAAATACCATTGCATGCTTGTTCATGCTGTTCAGCTAAAAAGATTGCTGCAATGCATGGGAATGTGGCCGAAAATCCAGACACCTCTGTTCATCATCGCATGCAGGAATTGAACCTCTCCACAACAATGTTACGTCATTTCCAATTGCACCTTTGATTATGTTGACCTAAAAAATCGCGAAGTGCACAAAATGCATTTCTGTTTGAACATCCATTTTCATAATAGGCTTCCATAACTTTAATATGTTGTTTGATTGTTACTCTTTCCATGGTTAAAACTGCCAAAGACTTAAGTTGTTAAATCTGAAAGAAAAACAAAACAGTCATTAGACGCTTAAAGTAAATTCCCATTTAAAATCTGTCCAAGTTATTAGAACACCCTTTATATATATATATATATATATATATATATATATATAATCGACTCTCCCATCAGTTTCGACGTATGAGGGTCAGGCCGATAAGTCCCCAGGAAACCAACATCCCGACACCGGCACATGAGATTTGTTTAGAGTGGTGAAGGCCTTGTGCAGGACCAGCCACACTTTTTGGAGGGACGAATACAGAAACCTGGTGCACCGAATGCATGCCACAAGGTTCCCAAACGACCCTCCGCAGGTTTTGAATTCAGAGTTGTCCTTCTCCTAGACCAGTTGCCATCCAAGGCTAAAGAACCCAGTCTGTCCTGCTATTTTACCCATAGCTGGAGGGAGATGAAGAGGATACATACCTTTCCCAAGGGTATTAGCACGTAAGTGAATGCAGTAGATTCGACTCTGAATTGAACTCGGCTCTGTGATTCCTCAATCCAAAGCCGCTAACCACTGCTCCACCGTGCCTCCTGTAGATATATATATATATATATATATATATATATATATATATATATATATATATATATATATATATATATATATACATAATATATATATATATATAAATATACATATATATGCAAAATATATAAATACCCATACATGTATATTTTTAGAATAAAAATTCCAAGAGGAAGAATCCAGGTAGAACTCAATGTCCAGGACAGAAATGTATCTTTATACATCCGTCAACATTCATTTTTCTCTTACTTAAACCCCTTCCACCCACCTCTCCTAATATTCTCTCTGTTAAGGTTTAATCTCCTCCTCCTCATACTTACACTCTCTCTAAATTCTGTTTTATTTCGGAGTTGTTTTTTCTGTTTTCCTTTTGAATTTGTAGGTCTGATGAATTGGATCGTATTTATGATTCCAATGGAATAAATTATGACCATGGAATATTAGTGTTTAAGCCTTTTTATTATATATATATATATATATATATATATATATATAATAATGAAGTAATTCATCGAGTCTAGAAGAAACCTCAACAGAATGTAGAAATCACTGGACGGCTGTTTCATCCTATATTTGGGACTCATCAGCAGTGTGCATCCACTACCGAGAATTGAAACCTGAACAGTTATGATAGGAAGCAAACACCATACCAACTGTACCAATGGGCCTCGGTGACAAAGAGGTAACGAATTAGACTCGATAGAGCACCACTCGATCACATATTCCGTGATGGGACTCATCTGAGTTTCCCTTACCCATAGGACTGTGCCTCCACAACCTACAACTACTATCCCCAACTCACTAGAGTCCAGAGATTTAGAAGTCGGTTCAAGCAAAGATATACAGATAGAAATAATTAGGAGGATTTGAAATAACCATAATTAATTCATTGAGTCTAGAAGAAACCTTATATATATATATATATATATATATATATATATATATATATATATATGTGTGTGTGTTAAGTAAAAAAAAGTAAAAAAAAAATTTCTTGTTTTTTTATATAATATATATATATATATATATATATATATATATATATATATATATATATATATGGTATATTGGTATATTACACTGAAAACCTGTCAAAATCACTACACAATTGCAGTCATTTTTTCATGCATATCAATGCATCTTATTAGTCGATTATAAATTACAGATGAGTGAAGGATTTATTTAGATTTAAAATCAAAATAAATCCTCTTTTTATGAAAAAAGAAAAAAGGGGTTTATAAGGTTTGTGGGCTCTACTCTGATCAACCAATGAAATATGAGCTTCATTAAGTAAAATGAGTAAAAATTATATACCATCCAGCAGATGTAATACACACCGTTTGATATAAAAATAAAAATGGAACATCTATTTCAAATACAAGTATCCACTATAATAACGTTTGAAGTAATATATACAATATATTTTTTCCAGAGTTTCTTATCAAAGAGCTGATGAAACGAAACAGGAAAACGAAGAAGGAAATAGCAATCCGAACGTAAGTTATTAACAATCTTTTGTGATCAAAATCATTTCAAAAGACAATTTTTTTGTCAGAATTCTTGAGATAAGGAATTATCTTATGTGCTTTGCTGTTCATCCAAGCATGGTCACCTAGTTTGTTGAACTCACAATGTATCCTCTAGACCAGTTTTTTTCAATCTTTTTTTACTGCGACTGCCAGCAAGAACCACATTTTACATTGCGAACCATTATACCTACATGTAAATAAATCAAAGGCAAACTCAATTCATCAGGTTCATTTATTTAGCATCGACAATTTCTATTTATAATTCTTATAATACACACAGATTGGAATTGCATGTATCTATTTGTATTATTTATTTGGATGAATTGGAACTAGAACAGTCTACCCCAGCGAGCAAAATAAAGGGTTCAGTTCAACATTCCAACCAACTGATGAAGGCTGGGGCGTACAACGGCCGAAATGTTGTGATAAATATGGAAACAAAGATGAGAACAATAGTCCGAATAATGTAAATACTGTACATATTACCTGATCTCAGAAATATAGACAGCCAACTCACATGGATCAGTTGAAAGCAGTGAAGAAATCCAAGTGTTGAAGGCTAAAACACAACTGAATGCAGACCTGGTTATGTTACACATTTTGTGTAGCATTCTACAGTTTGGAGTTCTACTACACTTGAAAATTTTGAATGACACATTTTAATTCTTACTGCTACATATTTCAGCTATCTAGATCAGCATTTTTCAAACTTTAAACCCCCAGCAAGAACCACATTTTGCATTGTGACCCATTATACCTATTTGTAAATAAATCAAAGACAAACTCTACTCACTAAGTTTATTTATTTAGCATCGACAATTTCTATGTATATTTTTTATGATCTGCACATACTGGAATTGCATGTACCTATGTGTATTATCTATTTGGATGAATGTAAAATTATTACTTAAAGAAAAACAAATTTAAAGAAATTCTGACACAAAGGTAAATAATATTTGAAAAAAATGCCATTTAATGAGATAGATGTGCTTGCTTGTTCATAAGCAGCTGATTCTAATTGAGACTATATACATATGTATAATTATATCTACAAAAATAAAACAATATTGGCCTACCTCATTGAAAAACAAGCAATGATTTATGAGTGCTGTGCAACATTTAGAGTTGTTTATATTCTGTACTTTGTGTATTTTTTTCTTTCTTGTTGCAACCCATTTTATTTATCTCACAACTCACCAACCCAACCTAGCATGTGCCAGGTAAGTATGATATTTACCCCATCTCCCCACTGGGAAGTGATGACACAAGGTCTGGGTTTTTTTTTTTTTTTTTTTGGTTTTTGTTTTTAGATAATGGTTTAGTGATACAAGTCTTACTAATTAATCTATAGATGGGGGGGGGCAGGAAGAGGTGGATTCATACTATTCTCAAGGGTATTTGCACATAAATATAAGGAATGCAATGGAATTTGAAACTTGGCTCTTCGATTAACAATTCCGGGCCATTATCCATTACACCACTTGCACATTCAAGCTTACAACACTTGGTATTTCCAAGTGGTTACTCATCTAGTTACTAACTAGACTCAATGTTGCTTAACTTCAGTGATCATAAGACAACCAGTATTTCAATATGATATGGTTGTACATCTAAGCATTTTCAATACCATCTGCAAGGTTCTGTTTTAGAATATGGATTTTATAGCACATTGACTGCTATATAATGGTCATATGATTCCTGGATAATATTAACCTGGGGAGATGATCCACTGTTGAATAGTGCCTGAAAATCATCCTATAGGTTGATTTGAGAGTGAAATCAGGCAGAGGAAGCTGTCAATTGCTGTGCTAACACAAAGCCACAAGTCATCATGACTGGGGATGCGAGGCATACTTATCTTGTTCAAACTGGAGATCATGTACTCTCTCCCAGAAACTGTAACTAAGGTCTGCTCAGCATAGTTGAAGTATAAAGCCACAGGTTGGCTCTAGGAATTGAAGAAACATCAATGTGCAGTGTGACTGAGTGGGCCACCCTAGCAGACACACATACTAGTCATAATCTCAAATAATCAAAAAAATATTTTTCTCATTTCTTTAGCACGCAACACCGACTCACATGGTGCAGGTGTACGACATGAAAGGTGCTTGGACTCGTAGTAATCGTACTGTGCTACTTGGACTTTATGACGGATTCATCAAAGCCCAAACACTCAAACGGAATCTTTCCTCAGAAGCACTCAAAGGTTTCAAACTTGACAATACAAGACAAGGATATGTGAGTATGCAATAAATTTATTCCTTATTCAGTTAAACTTCATTGTTTGTCTCTTCCTTAGACTGTCAGGACAAACAAGAATTGCGAAATAAATTCTCAGTCTTTAATCCCATCTCCAAGGTTCTGATTCTGAATGTAGTTTTATGGCACATTGACTCCTATATAATGGTCATGAAGTGCTAAACAAGGATTCTCATAGTCTTTAATCCCCCTCTCCAAGGTTCCCATTCTGAATGTGGTTTTATGGCACACTGACTCCTATATAATGGTCATGAAGTGCTAAACAAGGATTTTCAAGTAGATTCTCATAGTCTTTAATCCCATCTCCTAGGTTCTGATTCTGAATGTGGTTTTATGGCACAGTGACTCTTATATATTGGTCATCTAGTGCCAAACAAGGATTTTCAATGTTTTTGATTGATTTGTTTTCTATGGCTTATCAACCCTTTGCAGGTTATTTAAAGCCAGAGAATATTTTTAGAGTGTAAGATTTTTTTTTGAGTTAATAATTGTTTTAGTGATACAAATCTTACTAATTAACCCATAGCTGGGAGATTCCTACCTTCTCCAAGGGTATCTGTGTATAAGTGAATATAACACAATGGGAATTGGAACTCTGCTCTCCAATTAACAGTTCCAAGCCATTATCCATTACACCACCCTCACATCCAAGCTTACTGTACCTGGTATTCTCAAGTGGTCACTCATCTAGGTACTGAGTAGACTCGATGTTGCTTAACTTTGGTGATTGTACCAGAACATGTATTCCAACATGATGTAGCCATAAGCCTAAAGATTTTCAAGACTTTACTCCCATCTCCAAGGTTCTGTTTTTGAATATGGATTTTATGGCATATTGACTGCAATATAATGGTCATGTCATATGCCAATCCAGGATTTTAAATTCCATCTCCAAGTTTTTGATTTTGAATATGGGTTTTATGACACATTGACTGCTATATAATGATCATATCATGTCAGTCAAGGATTTTTATGTAGATTCTTATAGTCTTTAATTCCATCTCCAGGGGTATGATTATGAATGTTTTTGATGGCACATTAACTACTTAGTCACAATAATATGGCCCAAAACCCTAACCTATCATGCCATAAAATCTCATGTTTAAATATTATTTGTGCTTCTCTGATGGAGTATAATTCAGAGCAATGTGTCTTTCTTAACTCTACATTTTCACTTGGTTGATTTAAACAGAGAAGCAAGTCATCATCATTGAACACTTCTGGAAACCCAGAATCTCCAACCAGTCCTGGACCAATTCCTCTCAGCAATTTGCATTCAGGACATGCTACTGCCATGCTTAACAAATTGGTTTCAGAGACAGATAAAAAGTCTGTAGCCTTTACTGAAGAGGTGAGTGAATTTGTTTCAGTTCTTTTTAATCTCTTCTTGTAGTCATTTCTCTATCACTTTTTGAAAGCAATTGACCCCAAATTTCCAAAAAATATTTGCTATGATGGAAAACTAAAAAATGTTTCATCTCTGTTGTAATTTTGTCTTTGTTCAAAATAACCAAGAATTAGGAAGGCCATAGTAGGTAGGGAAAACAAAGAAGAAGAGTTTATTAAATACTCAATGGAGTTCAAAATAGCTGAGAATTAGGAAGGCCATAGTTAGAGAGAGTATCAAAGGAACAGAAGACTAGGTAGGGAAAACAAAGAAGAAGAGGTTTATTAAATACTCATACATGGAGTTCAAAATAGCTGACAATTAGGAAGGCCATAGTTAGAGAGAGTATCAAAGGAACGGAAGACTAGGTAGGGAAAACAAAGAAGAAGAGGTTTATTAAATACTCATACATGGAGTTCAAAATAGCTGACAATTAGGAACTCTATAGAAGGATCAGAAGGCTAGTTACAGAAATATTTATTAAATACTTATACATAGAATGGAAATGTTTCATCTTTTTGTAATGTTATCTTTGTTCAAAATAGTCAAGAATTAGGAAGGGCATAGTCTTCTGATCCTTCAATACTATGTAGGGAAACAAGGAAGAAGAGGTTTATTAAATATACTTATAACGGAAAAACTTGAGTAAATCAAATACTACTCAACTCCCATTCAAATGTAGCTATTTGCCATATTTATCAATTTTTTGCAGCAATTTTTCATATTAACTTCAGATTTTTCATGTAAAAAAAAGTTGACTAATTTCAACACATTCAACTTTGTGGAGAAAAAATACTGAATTTTATATAGTTTTTTTTTTTTTTTCAAGACTTAGGAAGAGCAAAAAAAAATTCATGGATTTGGATGAGGAAAAAAAAGAACCCAGAATGATGTCAAAATCTGCAAATATTTTTCCTCCTTTAACAATCAATTGTGCTTAGTTTAATTTTTAATTTATATAAATGTACTTAAAAAAAGAATTTGGTGGGTAATGCACACTAGCCCTGTATATATCAATGGCATGCACACACAAGTATCACTTCACAGATTAAAATCATACAGTATCAAAGGAAGAGAAGACTAGGTAGAGGAAACAAAGAAGAGGTTTATTAAATACTCATACATAGAACAGAAAAACTTGAGTAAATCAAATACTACTCAAATCCTACTCTAATGTGGCTACTTGGCATATTTATAAGTAGGAGCAGTCCATTGTCACTGTAGTAGGGAAGAGCAGGAAGGAGGTAGAGTCCTATTCTACAACAATCTCTTAGCATTTCAGAATGCTGGAAAGAAAATATAAAATGTATATTTGGGTAAAATTAACATGGATAAAGATTCAAATAAAAATTCTATGGAATAACAATAGTCTCAGTATTTCAAGTAATATAAGAATTTATCAAAATAATATTATCAGTCCTATAACCAGGTGTAGTTGCATAGTCAATGTGCAGCTGAGTATATGACCAGTTCTCTCGATATATATGAGTTGAAAGCTGGAGATGTATTTATTCATATGCAACATATTTTAGGCAAGTAGACCTCACCAACTCCGTTTGTCTCCAGTTCAAATCATATTATTTCCTCCAACTTGAATGATCTCTGACACACGGCCATTGATATCACCTGGGGGAAACCTCTACTCTGTATGTTGACTTCAATTTAAGAAGTCCTCTGCCTATCACTGCCATGTCATCATTGCAATGGCTGCATCTACAGCTACCGTCCTGGGTATGATGATAAACTATATCTGCATCTTGGGTAAGACGATAAACTACGTTCAATGGCAAGACCTCTGATGAGGAGTTTTTGAGGAACATGGAACCACCTCTTAATTGCTGGTGTTCTCAGGTCCACCCTGACCGGGGGTGGTGGCACCAGTTAGGGTTCCAGCTATAGGCAAATAGTTAAACCCCAAACTGGGATCAAAACACTATGAAAATGTAAAAATAGATTTAATACCAGAAATACTTTGTAAAAAATTATTATCAGCAATAAATTTTTGAAGAAACATTATTACTAGCAATATAGTTTTGAAAATAATATTACCAGCTATACATTTTTGAAGGAAAAAAATATTACTAGCAATAAAAATTGTTGGCATTAAATAACCCATTGTAGTTGATATGCTGTAAAACAAATTGAACCAAACCATCCATAGCTATGGAGCCCAGTCTACCCCATTGTGCTAGATGGCCATTGACTCAACAAAAAGATTCATCCTCCCTTTGACAGGAATCATTTTTAATTTTGTCAAGCCACATTCATCACCTGAAAAGCTCAGTGGGAGAACCAATTTAACTCCTGATGACCTGTGACTATGCAGCAGGTAGGACTAGGTTACATTGTACCAGTAGCACTTGTAAAGTGACCTGACATTCATGCTTCACTTTGCCAGGCTTGAAAGATCCTAGAAGGCACTGATTACATGTCAGGGTATAATGCCATAATAAAATCGTCAAGAAAAATACGTATCATGATGAAAATAATTCTGTTTATGACACAAAAGGAAAAATTGCTTTAATTAAACAGTAATAAACTTATACCTTCAGTTTCCTGCAATAATTAACCAATCAGATAACACCACCTTTCTTTCATAAATAAACCAATCAGATAACACCACCTTTCTTTCATAAATAAACCAATCAGATAACACCACCTTTCTTTCATAAATAAACCAATCAGATAGCACCTAACCTTTCTTCCATTAATGATCCAATCAAATAGCCCCACTTTCTTACTAAAGGAATCCATTTTCAATATTGTAATTTTGCTAAACAATTTTGTGCTTTTTTTGGTTTAAGGAAGAAAATTTTAATTTGTATTAAATACATCAACTATAATTTAATAGTTTAAGATTAATTATCTACATTCAAAATGCAGTAAGGTGGGGAAAATGTTCTAAAGGTTCAGATTCCAAAGACCTTTTTTTAATGGAATAATTTTGTGGATTTTTTTTCCTGAATTCCAGCCATCAGAAGCAAATATGGAACAATTACATGGAATTGCCGCTTGCCAAACTGATGATGTAGTAAAGAAGAATTGGTTAAGTGAGTAGCTGTGAAAATGCACTTTTATAGAATTTTTTTCTTTTACTCTTTTTCTTGAACGGTTTATAAAACCAGACATAGAATGACACAAGGCCACAAGTGTCTCGCACACAGTGAGAAACTATAGAAATTATAGATTTGTTGCTAACCATTGCATCATGACAATGCACCATTTTTTGTTGCTTATTGACTTATATATAATAAATATAATATCCATGTGATCTTTTCTCTATGAAAATCTTTCTTGTAGAACATATGGAAAATATATATATATATATATATATATATATATATATATATATGTGTGTGTGTGTGTTTAGGCAGCATATCTATCTTCAAACATGTTTCACGGAATACTATAGACATATTATGTCTACTTTTTTTTATACTGATCCTTTCCCGTTCTCTAATCAGTTTCTTGATGTTAAGATGAAATTCATCAAGGAAGGCACCATAGTTTTTCATACCCAAGTACTTTCAATCTCCAATTTCTACCAGTTTCTGGTCAGCTCCCTTACATTGAAACACTTGTTTTGAAAATATTCCATAGCTACAACAGATAAATTAAAAATTTTAAAATAATTATAACAGGGCATCTTAGGGATGCTTGAAATCGGCTTGATTATATAAAAAAAAATAAAATTATAAAGTTCCCAGCATCCTTCATTCATGTGCATGTGTAGTTGCACCAACATAACAAATTTAGTCTGATGAAGTCCTAAAGGATGAAATGCGTCACACACAAAAATTTTCAACATTGTCATACATTAAAACATATATATATATATATATATATATATATATATATATATATATATATATATATATATGAGAAAATTATGTCTATCATAGGCTACCCAACCAGTTCTTGAAAAATTCAAAATGGCTGGATAATTTCCAGATAGGACTAATATATATATATGTGTGTGTGTCTGTAAATATATATGTAATATAAATATGTGTGTCTGTCTGTAAATGTGTGTGTCTATAAATGTCTGTAAATGTCTGTAAATATATGTGTGTGGATGTGTCTGTAAATGTCTGTAAATATATGTATGTTGATGTGTCTGTAAATATATGTGTGTGTGTGGATGTGTCTAAATATGTGTGTGTGTGTGGATGTGTCTGTAAATGTCTATAAATATGTGTGTGTGTGTGTGTGTGTCTGTAAATATATGTGTGTGGATATATATATATATATATGTGTGTGTGTGTCTGTAAATGTCTGTAAGTGGATATATATGTGTGTAAATGTCTGTAAATATATGTGTGGATATATATATATATATATATATGTGTGTGTGTGTAAATGTCTGTGTGTGGATATATATATGTGTGTAAATGTCTGTGTAAATATATATGTCTGTGTGATGGAAATGTATATGTGGATATATATATATGTGTGTGTGTGTAAATGTCTGTGTGTGGATATATATATATGTGTGTGTAAATGTCTGTGTGTGGATATATATGTCTGTGTGTGTGTAAATGTCTGTGTGTGGATATATATATATGTCTGTGTGTGTGTAAATGTCTGTGTGTGGATATATATATATGTCTGTGTGTGTGTAAATGTCTGTGTGTGGATATATATATATGTCTGTAAAACAAAAATGTCTGATATGTGGATATATATATGTCTGTGTGTGGATATATATATGTCTTTGTGTGGAAAATATATATATGTGTCAACAAATATGTGTGTGTGTGTGTGTAAATGTCTGTGTGGATATATATAAGTGTGTGTGTAAATGTCTGTAAATATGTGTGTGTGGATATATATATATATATATATATATATATATATATATGTGGAGATATATATATATGTGTGTGTGTGTGTAGATAGTCCCAGATAATGTATCTGTAGAAGAAAAAAAATTAATAACTACACTTAGTTGACGCATTTCATCCTCTGATGGACTTTATCAAGTCAATGTAGGATTTATTATGCTGCATGTCTTTATATGTGTTGGATATCATTGGTTTATATGTGTTGGATATCATTGGTTTATCAAGGATTATAGATTTAAGAACATTCATGAATGTTCATCAGCTGGTTGAAAGGTCAGTCAAATGCTTAAATTTAAAAATTGTAGATATTTACATCATAGTGAATTATTTTCTCCATTAAAATTTATACAAAAATTTAAATGCAATGTCAATTGTTATCATCTGTCTTCTTAATTCTTGTTCATTTATCTTGCTTTCTCCTTAATGCTGTTTTTGTTTAATCATATTCTCTTACACTTAATAACCCCTTGCATCTTAGTGGCTTTATTGCCTTGTTTATGGTGAAAGGTTTAGAGAAAACTGAGAAAAGCTGAAGCATATAGCAACCAAGACATTATGATAAAGACAACAAAGATGAGGAATATGTTTCAATAAAATCAATGTATAATAGCAAATATCTCAGGTCAGAAATTCCATAATGGATTATTTTTCTTTCTTTCTTATATTGTTAATAATCTTTTCTTTTTCCTGTTTCAGTCGAGCTTTTCAACAGTCAAGTTATGCTAAAGGGATGTGAAACAGCTGGGTATGTGATTGTCAGTGCAGCAAAAGCCCAAATCCTTTCCTGCATCCACAAGCCTTTTTGGAAAGGTCGTCAGTTGTGTAGCAAGACTACTTGGGTTGGCTCTTTAGAATGTATGCAGGTAATTCATCTTTTAATTCCTTTGACCCTGCCAAAAATCACTAGTCCCCCACCAACACCTAAAAAAACATCTGTATCACTTTTTATAATGACAGAATTAGAAAACAAATCTTTAGAGGATGTTTTAAATAATTCTGTGTCTGAATTTCTGGCATGAGGAGTTACCGTTATTTCCATTCAGACTAATATCCTCATCTTTTTATCATGTGATCACATTCTATATGAATTTCTGGGATGAGGTGTTATCATTATTTACATTCAGACTAATATCCTCATCTTTGTTGTTATTATCACCTGATCGCCTTCTGTCAGAATTTATGGGATGAGGTTTTATCATTATTTATATTCAAACTAATATCCTCATAGGATCCCAGCTATTCGCAAGTAGTTAACCCCCCTCCTCCAAAAAGTGGTCAAAACACTATGAAAGTATAAAAATAGATTTTAATACTCTCAATACATTTTTGGAAAAAAAAAATTATTACAAGCAATGAATTTTTGAAGAAACAATTATTACCAATAATACATTACCTGCAATACATTTAAAAAAAATACCAGATATATATTTTTGAAGAAAAAAATATTACCAGCAATACAAATCTTGTCGACATTAAATAATCCATTTAGGTTGATAGGCTATAAAACAAAACAAACCAAACTAAGCCTTGTGAGTGAAATTAAGGGGATGAAATTGGAATTTTCGATAGTTGTGCTATATGAATAGTTATAATTGCAATCAAACATTAGCAAATAAATTAGGTTTCAACATTAAATAACCCATGAGTTGTTGATGTGCCATTAAACTAAACAAAATTCATTCCTTCTGATTTGGATCAGTTTTTTCTTTTTATTTTAGTGCTCTGCCAGATGATTAAAAAAAAAAAACTTCAATTCCTCGAGTTTAAAACATCTATGAACCACTGATTTGTGGAACCGACTCCCAAGAGGATGCTTCTCAGATCGCTACAATCTTAATCTGTTCAAGTTTATGGTTAACCATTATCCTTCCCACATATCCCCATAAACTCTGCCTTTTACTCTGTAACCCTCTACTTTGAGTGGCTCTTGGACCTTATACAGGATGAACATCATTTTTTTTTAATCTTTTTCACCATTTTCTTTTTTCTTTTAGTATTATGCAACAGTTGACCCTGGGGAAGTTGTCACTGATGAAGACATTGCCTGGTTGAGTAAAGAAAACATTGAAGATCGTTCAGAATTTGATCTAGAAGGATTGCCTGAAATGGTGAGCAGTGGCCAAAGTGTTGGTGGAGTTGTCAACAGCACTGTCAGTGGCCAAGTAAGTATGACATGACAAACAGCATAAATCTTTGGTAATTATTTCTGAAGATTATTGTAATTTGGGATGAAGGAAGGAAGGAAGGAAGGAAGGAAATGAACATTTAGGAAGATTGTGTTGCATTAATTTTCAAAGATTGGATTGTGGTGGACTTCATCACATTAATTTAACTTAGATTAGGAAACCAAACTGATGTGAAAAAAAAAGGATGAGCCAAAGACATTGTGACACATAAAATTTGTATTTAACAAGATGTACAAAAAGAAAAACATGCATTGAGTAAAACAAGAGTTGTCTCTCTCATTAAATATCAATTGTTCCAAAGTTCACTGAAAGAAATAAGGTTGTAATAATTTCTGGTAATAAATGTTTTCAACAGTTTTACTGTGTAAGGAAAAAGATTATGTGAGTATAGGGAATATTCAGCATGTGAGTGGTGGTGTGAGCGAGAAGCTTGGAAAAGTTTGTGAAGGTTCGTATGTACATGAATGCGTGAATATGCTTTAATGTCTGACCATTATGGTTGAGACAAGAAGGCTGAAAATCACATCTTCACAGGAATTTGGAAGAGCAAAAAAGAGAAAGAGGTAAACTCATGTTTGCTATTTATAGATAATGTAATCACGTGACAGGATCACAGCACCTTGGTGGGAAACTTGATTTGGTCACACACTGGAAAAATATATTGTGCATGGGTGGATTGCAACACCCACTTATGTGTTTGTTGACCAATTAGCGTGCGAGTTTTGGGGAGACCTAAGAAAGCCTCTGAAATCCGATTCTTCCAAAAGTGCACGAAATCGACTACATGAAAATATAGCGATTATAAAATTGTCGCATAGCTGCAATTTATATATTGTTCATTACACAGTAGTGTTGATTTATTATCCAATGAATGCTTGTTATTGTATAATTTGAATTTGCATAAGTATGTATGTATGTGTGTGATGATGATCATTGCAGGATCTTGTCTGTTTTGAAAATCAGCATTTGAGATCTTTGTATATTGCCTGGGCTTGAATACAGAACCCTCATGCTTGTGGGAAATACACAACTACTTCAGCTATTGACATGTTCCAGGAAAATATGATAGCAATTGTAAACAAGGATTTGAGATTAAGAAGCAAAAATTAAGGAAAGTGTTGTGTATGATACACCTAATTTACATAAGCGGACTACCGACCATATAAATATGGGTTGGTACCGGAAGACGGGGAAGATAGTAGAGATTAAGAAATTGAATCCAGAGACTCTGCCCGACTGCGATTTAGTCAACCCATTATGCAGGAACAGTCTTCCCAAGAATATACCAAACTAACTGTAAATATTGTGTACCTATTCTTTGTTTCAATACATTTTGTTAACGTACATTTTGTGTTGTATTATTCCATGCTTATTTAAGCTTCAACAGAAAGGATTATAAAGCAAAATTAAAAAAAAAAAGATTTAAGAAAGATTTTGTAGATTTTAGAAAAGGATTATGAAACAAAGATTAAGAAGATTTAATGAAAGGATTAAGAAGAAAAAATCAAGAAAATTATCAAAGCTTATGAAAGATTAAGAAGATTTAAGAAAAGAATTAAGAAGCAAAAGTATGAGGAAATATAAAGATGTCAGCAACACTGGATTCAAGTACTGGATCACAACATGGACAAAACTTCCACATCGGAACACTACATGTATGGGATGAACACAGCCAAGACACCAGAAATACAAACAAGGAAAAATGAATTTGAAACAATGCTGGGTAACATGAACAGAAATCTTTGGTAACACACAGTAATCCCATTATGTGGTATACTGCCAAGTTTTCCCCCTTCCCAGAAAATGTGTCTGCTTTTATGGAGCCTAAAACTTTAGTGGTTAGCTAGCAAAGGAATCATTTGCATAGCTAACACTGCTCAGCATGGCATCCCCACTATCTCATGGGGAAGCTGGTAACCTAACCAGACATTCCGGGGTTTGCACCAACTCTGTTCTGGCACAACAGTCATGTGCTGTCTTTTTGCAGACAAAGCACACTAAACATCTTTTTAACTGACAGGGGTGTGTACTATTATCAATGGCGACTGTCTGCTCCATCTGCATTTCGTTTCTGCAACACACCAAATGTTTATAAACCTATAATTGATACTAAAGTTTTATTTTAAATTTTTATACTCAATACCAAATTTTATAGTGTGCATTAAACCCTTTCTTTTGTAATATCTCAAAGATTAAAAAACTTTTCCTTCTTGATTTATTTTCAGAATGGCAGTGTAGGTCAGAGTGTCCAGCTTCAGCGAATTGTGTCTCGTTGCCGATGCCAATTCTTTTATGCAGGATATGGAGAAGTGGAATCAGAACAATTGCCAGAAGTTATTGTAAGTAAATCTGAAATTTATTATCTGCAACATCCGAAACATTGTGATAATAACAACAAAGATAAGGACAATAATCCAAATATAAAGAGTGTAAATATTAAGACTTTTATGTCTTATTACTACAAGGTGTAAACAAACAAAAGAAGATGGAAGAAAGAAATATAAAAAAATGAATAAGAATTGACAGTGCTTCATCTAAGAAAATCAGGCAAATTAAAACTATGACATCTTATTATTTCAAAGTGTAAGAAAGACAAGACAAGAATTAATAAGAATCAACAATGCTTCAAATAAGAAAATCAGACAACTTTGGATTATGATGTTGTATTATTACAAATTCTAAACAAGCAAAAGAAATAAGATTAAAAAAAGATTAAAGAAGAATTAATAAGAATCAACAATGCTTCAAATAAATTCAGAATAGAGTATTATGTCTCCATACCTTTTGGTGTAAACAAGCAAAAGAAATACGATAAAACATGAGTAAAATATTAATACTAATTGGAAATGTTTCATTTAAGAATTACTTTATTATAATATTACTGTTAATTTTACTGGTGGAAGGAAACAAAAAATAAATGAAATGTCAGATTTGTGTCTCTTTATTGTCTCATAAAGAATTATATTCACTTAAATGCTAATAACCTTGTGAAAGGTATGAATCCTCTTCTTCTCCCTCCAGCTATGGATAAATAGCAAGAAAGACTGGTTTCTATAACTTCGGGTGACAACTGATCTAGGAGAATGAAAAACTCTGAATTCAAAACCGGCCTGGTTTGACTCCATCAGGCTATCTTGCCCAAGAAACATCACTTCTACTGTGGCTGCAGTACACATGGTGCCCCACCTACAACCCTATGGGTCACTGGATAAAAAAAAAATATACTGTCTCATATTTTTTTTCCCATCACTTTTCTTTGCTAATTATGTCAATCTTTTTTTTTTTTTTTTGATTTTCTTTATTTGAAGAATGTGTTTTCTCTTTTCCAGCCAATGGAAGACCTTCCAGAAATGATGCAGATGGAAGATGGAGTTGACACAACGACTGTGTTACATCATGACCTTAATGTCTGCACCAACTCAGTAAGTTTTATCATTTCTTATGCATGTTACATTGAAAAAGAACTGCTATTCTGCCAATAAAACCTTCATCACTTTAGCAGAATGATGGCGCTGAGATCAAACTTGGTTTCCACTCCAAAGAATCATTACAACTAAACCAGAATACCTCATCAGTACTTTACAATATCACCAGACTTTTTTCTGTAATAATAATAATAATAATAATAATAATAATAGTGTTGGAATACCAAAGAAGAATGCAACTTCATTATACAGTCACATGCAAAAGTGTTGGTCACATTAAATTTTCCAAAGCCTTTTTAAGAAAAATATACATTATAATGTGACTTAAAAATATACATTATAATGTGAATAAAAACCTAAAAATTGAGTTGAACATTATTATGCATTTCAGCATTAAATAACTCACAAAGGATTGATATGCTATAAAAAAACAATTACAGTAGAATCCCTCATATCCGTAATCTCGTATATCCAGACATGATGTTGATGTGTATATTTGAACGATTTGGGTGAAATGTAACTGATTGGAAATTTCAAAAAATTTACTTTGGATAATTGCTTATGCTTATTTCACCCTAATGCATTCTATTGGTGCTGAAGATGATGGGAATAAGAGGAAAATAACAACTTTGGAGTTATTGCAAAAAGTGGAAATTTTAAACAGACTAGACGCTGGTGAAAGTTCATTGTAACTAATGGCTGAGTTCAACATAGGAAAGTCAACATTGTATGATATAAAATCTTCCAAAGAAACCATTCTCCAGCATTCACAATGAACAAGGAAATAAAAAACATGATTGTGATGCAACTTGGACTGAAATTGAAAAACCTATTGAAAAGGTTACCAGTTTTATGGAAAGAAAGCCAGCATTCAGTCATGACAATTGCAATAATGCATGCAGAGTTAAAAAGTGTCTTTTGTTTAAAAAATTTCAAGAACAAAAGCAAAACAAAATGTGGGAAACGTTGACAATGACATTAGAAGAGAAAGAATCATCATGCAACTGCGATTAAAAATTTCGTTGAATTTTCGTTAACATTACATAATTTATTTCCTTTTCCTTAAAATCAATTCTGTTATATTTCACTCACCAGTACCTTGTTTTATTTACTATAAAACATTGAAAATAAATGTTAAACCTGATTTCATTTCTTTTATTTTAATCTAAATATAACCCCTCATATCTGGACTTTGTAGCTAATTCCTCATATCCAGCAGGCCTTCTTAGTCTGTTTTCAGGGATTCTACTGTATTTGTATTTCTTGATATCAATTCTAGTTTTAAAATAATTTTAAAAATAATATTGCATGAAACTGAATTCGTAGTTCTATTTATTAATTTTTCCCAATAAGGAAATTTTGTTCTTTGTAAATTTCTGTATTTTGTAGAGGGAAAGAGGGGCTAAGGGAAGCAATGCATGGCATACTTAGGAGGCTTAAGCAAATGAATGGCAGAACAGGGTCTGGGAGAAGTAGCAAAAAGACAAAACTTATTGAGAACTACAAGGAATAGGAAGAAGTGGAGAACCATGATCGCCTACATCCTGAATAGACACAGCACATAAAAGAGGAAGATATGAAGGAATGCTGAAAAGGTCTCAGTCCAACCAAGAAGCCTTTCTAAAAAATTAAAATTCTGATGTTTGGTCATATGTTGGGAAGTTGGTTCTTCTTTATGCCTCCTTGCTTCCTTAAGGAATATAGGGTCGCAACGACACCCTCTCTAATGGATGTAGTTCTGGGTGATCCTCTTCAGCTCGGCTCATGTAGTGCCAGCTGCCTTCACTTCTGCACCAACACTATTTTGGTCAACCAACTTTTCGCTTCTCTTGTAGATGGGAAGTTGGTTAGGCTGACAATTTTTCAGCACCCTGTAGCACTGCAGCTCAGACTAGACCTCAGGTTCATTCTCAGGGTGCAACTTCTTCCAGGTAAACCCTTTAGTCAGATCATCACTCACAAATTAAAACCATGAGAATTTGTAGCAGTAAGCAGATTTTATTCTCAGGTTGTGACTTACTGCTATAGATGAGTGAAGGTGACGGGGAGGTGAACAGACTAATGGGCGTCTTTCCTTTTGCATTGATGCAAGGTGAACTTCTCATCACTCTGCCCGTTTCACAAGTAGTGACCACTGTCTTATAGAGAGCATTCTTCTTTATCTTGTCATCTTTGTCTAAAAAAAGTAATTTATATACATTTAGTGACTTCTTTGTCCAAACCACTTACCATGATACTTATGAAATCCACTTCACTTAGCTGATAATCATCAGGAAAATAAATTTTCCATTTAACAAGCTTATACTGATATCACTACATGCACCTCATAATTCTCATTTAAAATTTGAAAAAATATCTTTTATATTGTTCAGCAACAAAAGAAATCTAATGACAGCTTTGTTATTTTGTTACAGCTGCAGTATACCATGATTTTGGACATTGTTAACAACCTTCTCCTCCACGTCGAATCAAACAGAAAGGTAAGATAGAACATTTCAGAAGTTAAAAAAAAAAAGTGGAGAGAAGATTGCAAAGAGCATCTTTTAACTGATTTTAATGGTTTTTATTCTTCTCCCAAAACTTGACACCTTAACCGCTAACATTTCACCTATTTTTATGTTGCATTATCAGGCACACATGCATGGACAGAAGGATTATCATGGAAAGCCATAATTAATTACATGTGTGTATGTGTGTGCACAATTATATGGTAGTAGGTATCCTGCACATATGTACAAGTATACACACACACACAAATAAAAAATGTGCATGAATTAATTTTTTTTAATTAATAAAAATAACGAGAATGAGAAAATTGGCAGACAATTGGTGATACCTCCAGATGAGTGGACCAACTGATTACGCAAAAGTTCATCAATGAAACTCTGAAGTAGAAGTGCTGAATATAACGTCAATCAGCTAAGTGACAAATTTTATATTTGTATTAATCTTATAGCTGTATCTATCACAGGGGAAAATTGGTTCTTGGTGTTGTGTCAGAAGGTTTTCTTGTCTGAGTCCATCCTACACATCTACAAATCTACCATTCATCTATGCATGGAATACTGGTGCCATATATGGTCTGGCGCCCCTGCTGTTCATCTCAAGGTTCTTGACAAAATCCAAAGACGGATCTGCAATGTAGTCGGTTCTGATGTGGCACCTCAACTCTAGTCACTTTCTCACAGACATGATATGGCTTCCTGCTGTCTTTTCTACAATTATTTTCATGGCAACTGCTCTGATGAGCTTTTTTCCACTGTTACCCCGACTACATGAATTTAAGTGTGCTACTAGATTGGCATCTAGGTCCCACCCTTTTACTGTTGAAACAGTTAAATGTAACTGCCACTTTTACCCAACAGTTTCTTTTCTTGCACTTCCTGACAGTGGAACTCCCTTCCTCTTGCTTGCTTCCCCAATAACTACAATTTTCAAAAATTTAAATGTAACGTCAATCATCATCATCTGATGCCTTGATCCATATTTGTCTTTTTATTCTTTCTTCAATCTCCCTTATACACTGTCTTTTCTCTTACCTTCACTTTCTGTAATCCCTTGCACACTAGTGGCACTCCCACCTTGTTTGGGGTGAAATGCTTAAAAAAACATATATATATATATATATAGAGAGAGAGAGAGAGTGCATTGGGTAAATTGTCGCAATTTTATATTTTTAATTTTGTGCATGTGTAGTGATAGATTTTGATTTTGTCAACTGAACAATATAGTAGGGTCAGTTGGGCACCATCTCTGTGAGAAAAAGAGCACCATGATGCAATTTACTCTGCTAGAAATTTGGAAACAGCATGCTGTACTGCTTGGCATTCATGCCAGAAACTCCAATACAAGCATTTCAGAGTGTTTGGATGTCAATCTGAGGACAGTACAGAGGATTCAGAAAGAGATGAATTAGTCTAATGGTGATTATGAGAGCACAGCAGCTGGGAAATCTCACTCTGATCATTCTTATAAAAACAGAATTCCCAAATTTGATGGCAGCATTCACCAACTTCACTCAACAATGAGACCATCCAGAAGACTTGCAGGAAATTCCAAAGTTGACTGGAGGCTGTGGTTGGAGCCAATGGCAATTTTATTGAATAAATTTATTCTTTCATATTTCAAGATGTTTTTGTGCAATTTTGGTAAATATATCTGTTAAAATGAGATGTCAGTGTTATTTTCCTTTTTGTGTAACTTAGATGACAATTTTTCCATGGCACACTGTGTGTGTGTGTGTGTGTGTGTGTGTGTGTATATATATATATATATAAAGGCCATCTCATAAGTTCTGTCCAAAATATTATACAGTGTAATTTCGGATATAAGAGAGTTGTCGGGACCGGAGAAGAAGTCTCTTATATATTTGGTCTATTCTATATACATTAACACAGGCTTTAATTTGGGACCAGAGAAAATCTCTTATATCCGGGTTTGGTCTATTCTATATACATTAACACAGGCTCTAATTTGGGACCAGAGAAAATCTCTCTTATATCCGGGTCACACTGTATATGTAATTTCAATAAAATTTTACAGTATTCTGAAATGTCAAATGATTGCTAATCATATGAATTTAGAAACCTTTAACTTAATATAATTTCTTTTTCACAGAATTTTTATCAAAAACTTATTTGATAAAAATCACCTGAGGATACTGTAAGGTTAAAACCAAGGTAGCGGAGTCAACTGATTTCCTAATTTTTAAAGTTAAAATCTCTACATGTTATTTTTACTTTTTTATTTTTATTTTATTTCTTCTCCCGTGTATTGAGCACTTTTTAATATTACTGTTTCCTGGTCTAATTTAACTCTGACCATTAACCTTTTATGTATTTTATATTATATATATATATATATATATATATATATATATATATATATAAGGAAAAAAATTGGAAAAACATTTTTGTGAAAAAAAAAATTTTATATATCAAATTTTATATATCATTATATATATATATATATATATATATATATATATATATATATATATATATATGGTGGCTGGTAAATATGAAATGCAGGCTTCAGAACCACAACACTGATACATTTGTTTCCCACCAAGGGAAGACCAGCACTCTCCTTGATCCCAAGTATTATTGTTAAAATAAACCAGAACTTGGATATATATCCTATTTCCGGTTTTGTTGTCACTTGATCTCTGAAAATCCCTCATCTACCCTTTTACTTCTTATTACCCTTTGGTTAAAGTAGATGCTACTGCAACAGGAGAGACTTAGAAGAAAGATTTATTTTCCCATTTACACTTCCTCCATTATGGGCATTATTATATTCATGATATAGTAACACCGTAGGTCATGGATGGAACACAATGGCTGAAAGGAAAAGGAATGATAAACATGCTTTGTTCTCAGAGAGACTTTTATACAACTAAGTCATACACAAAACTATATATATATATATATATATATATATATATATATATATATATATATATATATAGACATATTTTCTACACAGAAAAATATATCACATATATATACAAAGCAAGTAAAATGTAAGAACAAAAAGATAGGGTCTAACATATAATATGGAGATTCTTTGTTTCTGGAGAAGCCATGTTTAAGACTCCAAATTCAAGTAGGCCAGGTTCATCTATAATAATCACAAGTAAGAACATACTTAGCAAACTGGAAACAACAACCTTTCCCAAATTGAGGACTGCTAGATTTCTAATATATGAGGAAGATATATTCACAAAAGAAAATGGCACCATGGACTTGTAAACTGTAGCATTTGCTAGAGGAAGCAGATTTAGCCTCAGCCTTGGGTTCTTTGGCCCAGGCTAAAAAGTAACTGCTCAGTTTGGCTGCTGTAAACAAACTGAATGACTGGCCACTTTCGTCACTATATGAAATGATGTCACTAAGCAGCTATCACATGACTTATCTCTACCAAAGTTAGATAATCACCTTCTGTATCCCTAAACTGCTTAGAAGACCAAACTTCAAAAGGACCTATCTGCTGGTCTATCAAACAGAAACCCTTGAGATCAGGATAACCACCCCCTATTCCCTTTCTATGTGGGTGTCCATAGCATCACAGGAAATCTGTCTTTTATGTTAGCAATTTACCAAAAATTGGATCTCTTACCAGCTTTCATATCATCATGTGCTGTGTGTATTTGTTGTGATATTCTCCTGGTTTTTATAAATTCTTTCTTATGTAATTACCAAATTCCTATGGTGGATTCCTGTCCTCATCTTTTTTTTTTCCCAAATGTGTCTTTCACAGCAAGCAAGTGAGAAATTACAACGTATGAGGTTCCAATTGCAACTTTCTACTGTAGAAGACCAACGATCACCAATCTTGCTCCTTCAAGAGAATGTCAGGTAAGAAGATTTTGCTTTATAATACCAATCCAATATTTCTCTGTTTCTTACCTAACACAGCAAAAAGGGCACATTGTAGAGCAATTTGTGTTTGTGCAATATGACTAAAATGCTCTAATTTGGAGAATAAAGCAATTTCCAGTCCAGTTGAGTCAATGATTAATCTTTAAGGGTTAGCATGATGGTTAGCAGTCCACAAAGTGGAATTAGAGAGATTAGTTCAAGTTCCTGTCTAATCTGCCACATTCACTTTCACAGAAATACCCTTGTAAAAGGCATGAAGCCATCTTTTCTGTCCATGGCTATGGATTTAAATAACAGAGCAAACTGTGTTCTCTTGCTCTAAGTTGCAGCCACTCTCAGAACTTGACTATACTGAATTAAGTTTTGGATTAAATAGATTTAAATGAATTAATTATGGATTTGAGTTACCGATTAAAACCAGGACAGGCATAGTTCTCTTGCTGTAAGTCACATCCATTCTCAAAGAATGACTATACTGAATTTAAAAACACTGAAGAAAGTAATTAGAAATCACTCTCCTATCTTTTTCAGTATACTTTGGCAACTCACAATTGATAAAAAAATTATTCTGTGGAGATCCATGATCACATACTTCCTGAAGCAACATGTCATTTAAGAAATAAATTGACCAAATAAGAATATCATCTATCCAAGGGAGATAACTCAAGGTTTATTAACTGTTAATTACACACTTATTTCCTTGAAATTTTTTAAGAAAATAAGATGAATAAGCAAGAAGAATCCTTGATCTGTTTGGTTTTCTCTGTTAACCATTGTGATTTCAATAATAGTTAATAATAATTAAGCTAATTGATAATGAGTGTTTGCAAATAATTCAGTAAATTCTCTAAATATGATTTGGTTTAGTTTATTTTGTTTTATGGCATGCCAAGCTCAATGGGTTATTTAATGACAACAAGATTTTTATTGCTGCTAATATTTTTTTTTCCCAAAAGTGTATTGCTGCTAATATTATTTTTATTCAAAAATGTATTGCTGGTAATAAATTTATCTTCAAAAATTTATTGCTGGTAATAACATTTTGCAAAAATGTATTGTTGGTATTAAAACCTGTTTTTACACTTTCATAGTGTTTTAACCCCAGTTTGGGGATCAGCTATTTGCCCATAGCTGGGACCCTAACAGGTGCTACCACCCTGGGTCAGAGTAGACCTGGGAACATCAACAATTAAGATGTGGTTCCATGTTCCTCAAAACCTTCTGATCAGAAGTCTTGCTGTTGGATATAGTTTGTCTTACCCAGGATGCAGATGTAATTTGTCATCTTACCCAGGATGCAGATGTAGTTTGTCATCTTACCCAGGACGTGGATGTAGTTTATCATCTTACCCAGGACGACCTAAATATGAAGTGACAAGTCATTAAACTGAGGCCACCAAAGGCAGCATTTAAGTGAGATGAGAATAAAAGATTAATCTTCACATAATTAATTTCATAACAAGAGTTTAAGAAGGATCCTCAAGATTAGATGGAATGACCATATGAAAATGGCAGAAATGCTCCAATGTGCTTAGAAATACAGTCAAGAAATGGTGGTTCATTGGCCACACTTTAAAGCAAGGTGCAAACAATGACTGCAGCGCGGCAATGAATTGAACCCTGGAAGGACAAAAAATAAGGGGAAGTGCAAGAATGACAGAGTGAAGGACAATGGAGAAGGAAAGAGTAAAACCCTGCGGTGAGACATAAGTGGCAGCTACTGACAGGGCAAAGAAGGTTAGGGAAGAAACACCCATCAAGAGCTATAACAGCTACTGGACTTGAAAAACCTATTTTCTTGAAAAAATGTTTTAAGAGAAAGATTTTTTAATTTCAACTGAAACCGTACTGGCTGCTTGGTCAATGAATGTCAAATGTTTCCTTGTAGAATTCTCACAAAAAAAAAAAAATTCTTACAATCTAAAATATTTTCTGGCATTAAATAACCTGCCATGGGTTGATAAGCCAAAGAAAATGAATTATAAATTTGTAAAACTCCTCTATAAAAATAATCTATGTAAATGTATATATGAAAACTATTATGAAAAAGCTGTAATGAAAAACTATTATGAAAACTAATATGAAACTAAAATGGAAAACAATGAAGCTAATTCAATCGTATATGCTTATTATTTGGAATGCACCTTTTGAGTCGGACAATCTTGGAAAGGGGGGGATGACATTCTGACATATAGTACAAAGGGGACATTGAACAAAAGAGAATGACTACAATAGGGACTTATTTTATAGCATGAACAGCATGAGGGACGTATTTAAAAATTTTTAGTGTGGATGACCTATTGCCATTCATAGTAGAAGCGGGTCTCTAATATGGCAGATGACATGTCTAAAGTATAAAGCATGAAAATTTTCTTGATAGCAATTAATGTAAAAAGTTAACATTAAAATTATTCATTCATTGAATTTTGTCCTATAAATTTAGTTCAGGATTAAAAGAAATTTAAAAAAAAAAAGTAACTAGTAAATCTCTTTTCTTGCTATTAAAGCCTTGCTGTGAAGCTTAGATCTCTCTGTTGCCATTTCTCTTTCTTTCAGCAGCAACAGTAAGAAAAGTGATGTGAAGCAGGTTAAATGTAACAGCAGCAGTCAGTAAGGCAACAAGAACATTATTTTTAAGTCCGCAAGTTATAGATTCAGGATTGTCTTATGCGGCAACAGCCTCATGGATTAAAGTGTTGGTTTATAAATTTAGTGACATAGTAATTATGCCTTCAATCTCTGGACTGGATAGTATAAACTCAGGCTCCTCAACAGTGAGAAAACAATTAATATGAATTATCTCCCTTATCAGGGTTAGTAGAATAAAAGTCTATCTCTGTTGATTAAATAAAGGATTCAGTTAGAAATTACATGTACCCGAAGAACCCTAAATGGTGCAGGAGTTGAAATACTGAATAATAACAATCAAAACAAAGATAACAGTGCAAATGAATCAGTTTATATTTAAGAATAATTGCTAATCTGTGAAATTCAAGTGAAAACCACCACAAATTAAGAGTCTGATTTTATTCTTGATGGAATTGGAGAATTAGACTTAATATTTTGGAGAGAATGATTTTTTTTTATTCTTTATTTATTACAAGTGTTTGATGAGAATGGTCAGAAAAAAATTGATGAAATGTAGAGAGTGAAATGTACAGATCTTTTTCTTTCTTTCTTTCTTTCCAGGAAACAAGTTCAGAAACTCCGTCGTTTGGAAAAAGAACTTTATATGATTCATAAAGATCTTGAGAATGAATGTGCAGATGCTGAAAGGTATATAATCGCATTTAGTTTGGTTTGTTTTATGGCATATCACCCTCAATGGGTATTTAATGCTGACAAGATTTTCATTGCTGGTAATAAACTTTTACAAAAATGTATTACTGGTAATAAAAGCTATTTTTACACTTTCATAGTGTTTTGACCCCAGTCTAACTATTTGCCCATAGCTGGGACCCTAACAGGTGCTACACCCCAGGTCAGGGTGGATCTGAGAACACCAGCAATTAAGATGTGGTTCCACACTTCTCAAAACCCCCCAATCAGGGGCTTTGCTGTTGGATGTAGTTTATCATCTTACCCAGGACACCACATTATGTTATTGGTTTGCTCTAGATTTATATATATATATAGTGTGTGTATTTCATTGAATGTAACAGAGCACTAATTGTAAAAGATTTTTAAATGCTGTACTTATTGAAAGAGAAAACCTACTTAGAAAAAAATTTCTTGAAAAAGCAATTATTGATTCTTGCCAAAATATTAACTTAAACCCTGGATTTGTTCAAATATTTCCTTTTTTTTAAAAAAGAAATGCTTCTTTCAGAAGCTAACATACTTATGCATTTATATGTCTTCGGGCGGAGTGTGAGTCAGTTGTGGCTCTGTTGGAGGACAAAGGCACAACTGAAGAAAATAAAACTGTGATGTGCCCAGCCCTGAGGAACTGCTGCCCAAGGCTACACCCTCTCATTGCACTAGAGAGAGGGATCAGTGCTCACCACTGAGGCCAGTGCAACTGACAGTTGCAAGGACTCTGGAATTTTTGTCCTTGGCCCTGCTGTACATTCACTAGTTCCCCACAGTAAACCTGACCTTGTGTCACATCTCAGTGGGGAGATGAAGTAAATATCTACTTATGCATTTATATATTATAATTAAAAAATTATAACTAATCATATAGTTATCTCTTTTATTTTGATTCCATTTCCAGCCTTAATAGAGTCTACACAGTTTTGACACTTATTTTCCATTCTGCTGCTGCTTTCCCACAAACACAATATTTCAAGTTTATTGCTAATCTGTTACTAGTTCCACAGAAATTATTCAGATAAGCTCCATTCTTTTGTTCTACCAGTTCACACCTTTAATGCTAGGACTCACCATTTTGTGTCCACAGGGGTTGAATCACCTACATTTCTTCCTTGTTTTAAATTTAAGGATAAAGTTCCACCAGGCAAGTTTTTTTTTTCTGAAGAACTACCACTTTGGTAAAGAAGGCAACAGTGTGGTTTCTCCTTTGAAAATTTCAATCTAAGTTAAACCTGCTGATTTAAAAAAGATTAACTTGTTTGATTCTCATTTTGAACAAGTCTCTCTTTCTCTTGAACAAGTCTCTCTTTCTCTTGAACAAGTCTCTCTTTCTCTTGAACAAGTCTCTCTTTCTCTTGAACAAGTCTCTCTTTCTCTTGAACAAGTCTCTCTTTCTCTTGAACAAGTCTCTCTTTCTCTTGAACAAGTCTCTCTTTCTCTTGAACAAGTCTCCTTTTTCTCTTGAACAAGTCTCCTTTTTCTCTTGAACAAGTCTCTCTTTCTCTTGAACAAGTCTCTCTTTCTCTTTTCTTTCTCTTGAAAAGTCTCTTTTCTCTTTCCTTTTTTCTTGAACAAGTCTCTTTTCTCTTGAACAAGTCTCTCTTTCTTTCTTTCTCTTGAATGTCTCTCTTTCTCTTGAACAAGTTTTCTCTTGAACAAGTCTCCTTTTTTCTCTTGAACAAGTCTCTCTTTCTCTTGAACAAGTCTCTTTCTCTTGAACAAGTCTCCTTTTTTCTTGAACAAGTCTCTCTTTCTCTTGAACAAGTCTCTCTTTCTCTTGAACAAGTCTCCTTTTTCTTTCTCTGTCTTTCCTTGACTCCTTTGTTTTATTTTGCAGTTTGCACCAAGAAAGCAAAGTTGTTGAACAACAGTTGTTTGAGTGTAAAGAACAAATAAATGGATTCAATGAGGAATTGACCATCCGAATTAGGTGAGTGACTTAAAATATATTTACTTCAGACATCTCATAAAGAAATGGATGACTTTTGGCAAGTCTTATTTGAATAAAGTCTCCTCAGAATTCTGATACTTTCCTCAGTATTACTATTAATGCTATTACAGATAAATATCCGTACCATCCTATTGCACTATCAGCTCTGGTTGGCTGGCCACATCCACCACATGGACAACTGTCACTTCCCAAAGAGATTGCTCTATGGCAAGCTATCCACAGGCAAGAGCTTACTTGGTAGACCAAAGAAACATTACAAAGACACAATGAAAGAGTCTCTCAAGTACTGTAGCATTCCCCATTCCATCTGGGAAGTGTCTGCTGAGGATCATTCCGTCTGGCACTCCCTTGTAAGATTCGGAGTATTTGATTTTGAAGAGAAAAGAATCAGGGACAAAGAACAGACATCAGAAAAGGAAAGATCGAGAGGGTTCTACCTCCCAGCATGGTTCAGCCCCACCACATGTCACAACAGCAACAGACTTTTCAGGACAAAGACTGGACTCATTAGTTATCGCCTCACCCACCCCGCTTCCAAGTGATTCAAAGTCAAGGTCATATCCACATGCAGAGGACAAACATGCTGCTGATGGTTGATGCCTCCTTTTGCTACCTGGGTTAATGTGAGCTGGCCACCACCACAAGTTGCTAGGTCACATGAAAGAAATTTCAGTAGCTGCTGGCTCAAGATGACCCAGGAGAATGTTTTTGAAAAGACAGGAAAAAATTGGTTCTAGAACAATCTGGTACTAATAACAAGTGTACATGGAGAGATAAATTGAGATCCACTCTCAGGCAGGACTTGCTTTTTGCAAGAATAATCCGGGTCCTGGTTCAACAAAAAATGCATTTGTGGGAGTGGGTACAGGTACACTGCCTCTTATCCAAAATCATTGAAGTTAGACATTTTTAAGAATTTCAGATTTTTCAATGGTAGTAAAGGGATAGCAAAAGATACTTTTCAAAAGCTAAGCAAAGTATTAAGAAACGGGAAAATTTCATTAGCGACAAAGACAATAGTACTGAACTGTTATGTAATATCTATCCTCCTAAATGACAGTAAATGCTGGACAATCTCCTCACAGATGACAAAGAAATCTGGTACTACTGAAAGATGCTGAGAATACCAAATCAGATTTGAACCAGATCAGTCTGTGAATGGAGTACTGTTGTTATATTTGGACAAGAGCTGAGAATTTCTCTGTGATGGAATGCATAAATATTATCTATCAATATATTAGATAAATATTATCTATCTATATATATATATATATATATATATATATATATATTAAGTTGAGTAATTTAAGAAATAAGATTATAGTTTATTTTTAGATGTAACAAAATGAAAAATTATATATATATATACACACACACATTACAAGGCAAAAAAAAATAGACACACCTATAGAAATGATGAACAAAATATAAAGCTCATTACATTTGTATTTACATTTATTAACATGCCTAAGTACTGTTCTGACTTTGAGAAAAGCAAAGTTGCCGCTTTTCATGATCTTGGGCTGTCGAATAGATCAATTCAATAGCTGATAAGATTAATTGAGATGAGTCATGTGTCTGCAAGTTAATCAAAAAGAGAAATCAAACTAAAACATATAGTAAATGTAGCGGATCTGGCCGACCACAAAAAAACTCTCAACAGGGAAGATAGAAACTTGGTTCGTCAATGCAAAAAATGATCGATTCACAACAGCACAAGATGTCTCTGAAGCGGCTAGTTTGGCAGTTTCTTCAGATGCAGGCTTAAAGAAAAGCCATTGTTTCCAAATACATAAAAAAGAAAACTTTCATATCTGGAAAAATCAACGGACACGGTTGGCTTGGTGCAAAGCTCATTTACACTGGACTAAATCTGATTTGGAAGATGTTATGTGGAATGACGAGTGCCCCTTTACTCTTAGATAAGGACGAACATGTGCTTGGTGTATGCCCAGAGAAACAAATACTCCAGTGATGACCAAGGGTACTGTTAAACATGATTTTAAAAAAAAAAAAAAAAAAATTAACATTTGGGGTGCATTCTCAGCAGCAGGAGTTGGTAATTTGTACAGAATCAAGGAAATCCTGGACCAGCATCAGCACTGTAGTGAAAGAGATAATCAGCTACCTCGAAAAAGAGTTTGTGTTTTGTGTGCAATCTGCTGAAGAAAAATTAGTAAAAAGTAGTTAGCAAAAAAAAAAAAAAAAAATAATCTACTTTAAGGACGAGAATCTATGCTAATGTTCTTGATTCATTTTTGAATGTCTATATTCTATATTGTTGTGAATTAATATGGTGAACATGCCTGTAAACTAACCATCTTAATATAAAAACCTTCTGATAGCAAATTCAAACTCATAGCAATCCCAACAGAGCCATGCAATGGCTGTCAGCTGCTGGAACAGATACTACGCTTTGATCTGGTATTTACCAAATCACAGCCCACCTGCGAAAGTTGGTTAGCTTTGTCAAGCCAGATAATTTTTCTCATCACAATAAATTTTGCACATTTATAAGATGACCCATCATCTGTGAATTGAATATTGCTGCCATCTCTTGTTTTGTGTTCTGGTTATATATCTCTAAAAAATCTGAAGAAGAGTCTGTAATGTTATCGGTCTTGACCTGGCATCTTGATTTCAGTCACTTTCCCATTTCTGTGACATGGCTTCCCTCTGCAATTGTTCTAAGGAGCTCTCCTCCTTGGTATCTCAATCACATGAATTTAAGCATGCTGCTTGATTGGCAATTAGGTCTCATTGTTTTACTGTTCAAATAGCTAGATGTAACCATGTTTTATTGTATTGGATTCTTTTTTCACACTTTTTGCCTGTGGACCTCTTGATTTCTTGTTTCCAGCTACAATCTTCAAAAATTTAAATGCAACGTCAGTCACCATCGTCTCTCTTCCTGATACCTATTCTTTTATTGTCCTTTCATTGTCCTTTCTCCTCACTGAAGTCTTCTCATTCTCTTTCAGTAACCCCTTTGCATCTTAATGGCTTTATCACCTTGCTTAGAGTCAAATGAATAAAATAAATGATTAAATACATTTATTTTTTTAATTATCCGTTAATTAAAAATGTTTTTATTTTGCTTTTTAGTTGCTACAAAGAGGGACAAGTGCAATTTAAATCCCACTTACAAACGACACAAGGTATTTATTTCTCTTTCAATTGGCACTGGAAAAAGTCATCTTTATGTATTTTCTTGTCCTCTTTTGATTGTATCAACTACACTGATTTTAGTTGCCCATAAATATATGAGTACAATGAATTCTCTCCACATACCAAGATGGATACAAAGATAGCAACAAGGGTCATCAGTCATTATCTTCCATCTTCTTAATACTTGTTCTTTTCTTGTTCTCTCACCTTAATAATGTTTTTCTTTTTCTCATATTCTCTCACACTCAGTAAACCCTTGCATCTTAGTGGCTTTATTGTCTTGCTTGCAGTGAAATGATAAAAAAAAGAATGGTATGGATAATCATTTAGATACATATACACACAAATATAACTAATATATATATATATATATATATATATATATATATATATATATGTGATAAAGTAGGAAAAGTTTTCATGCGATGTGTTTCATCTATTAGGATTTCATTGTACTGAATTTTTTATGTTGGTGCGACTACATGTGTGCACAAATGAAGGATGCTGGGAATTTTTTAAATAATTTTTTTTTTTTAATGTAGCTGATTTCATTTAAATTCTTTTTCTTTCCATCACTTTTATTATTAGTTATCCCACACTGTCATATTAGAAACTTGAAGGAGGAATTTATTTGACTGTCTATAATAATTGTCACCAAAAATATATAGGAGAAACCTCAAGGAATCTAAATAAAAGATTGTATGAACACAAAAGGAACATTTAACAAAATAATACATCAAAGGCGTTCGTTTCCCACCATAATGAAACTGGCCAATGCTACTCTGATCAAAGGAAAAAATAATTCACTAATGCATACATATATATATATATATATATATATATATATATATATATATATATATATGCTACAAACTGTTTTTTTTTACTCCATTTGTTTCTTTCTCTTATATATATATATATATATATATATATATATATATATAATTTCAAGTATAGGTGCAGTTCAATTTATAATTACATGAATCATTCATACAAAAAACAGATATAGAAGTTAATGGTGAGAATACAGAAATAGATTTGTTCTTGTTTTTTACTTCTCAGTAATAACAGGACAATGAAAATATAAATGTAATCCGAAAAAATGCTATTAGAAATGTGTTATTGTTTTGGAACGTGTGGTCGCAATGCTGAGTTTGAATTTTAAATTTTAAGATTGTGCATTTTTGTACTAATATGGTAATAGGAGAATTCTTTTGTACTGGTAGGTTTTCCGTCAATGTGGCATGAACTATATTGAACAAATAGATTTGTTCAATATAGTTCATGCCACATTGACAGAAAACCTACCAGTACAAAATGTATGATTCATGTAATTATAAGTAAAAAACAAGAACAAATCTATTTCCATACCTGAGGATGTCTGTAGGAACAGACAAAAGCTTGTAAAAACTAAAAAAGACCTTATACAACTGGAATTTATAAACAGGGATCATATCATTCATATACAGGTTCGGGGTTAGTGTACTTTATTAAAATTGTTTGTGAAGATGTATTC